TTGGTTTTCAAGATCATAAGATGGTTTCGTATAAGTCCTAGAAAAATCATAATATATTTTTTCAATCTTATAAAATAATTTTACATTTTATTCGATGAATCTTTTTTCACAATAAGTTCATCCCATTGTTTTTGTACTTCTTGTTCATGTTGAGAAAGTTGATTATATCTAATTGCCTGAATATATATAAATAATATCAAAGCTATTGTAGAATATTCAGTTTACACGAGAACCGTAACATTGTTCAATTAGATTTACACGTTCTAATGGATTATTTTCTTCACGAATACGAATTTCAAATGAATTTGATTGTTGTTGATGTTCATCAATAGTTTCGTCTTCTAGAGATGTTAATGTTTTTAACGAAGCTGAATCATCATTTGTAGAATTCTTATGACATTCCGGTGGTTTGAGAGATGATGGAACATAACCATCAAGAAATTCTCCATATTTCAGTCGACGTAATTGCTTATTTAAAAAAAGAAGGTATAAACGATTAATTAATCTATGACTTACATCATCAAGAGCTAATTCACATAGATACACAACTAATGATAAAATATCTTCATTAATAACTGGTTCATGCATCATCTATAAATATCTCAAGAAAATCTTTTCTTTGTTTTTAAATTGAAAATGATAATTACCCAATAGCAAATAGAAAACAAGACTCCATGTAAATATCGACTTTGAAGAATACATCTTATATTTGTTTGAAATTGATCTTTTGGTTTATGTAAACGATATGGTGGCCAAATATTTTTTTCATATGAAAATTTATTCATTGATTTTATACTGAAAAAACTTTTCGTTATTATATTTTATTTCTATTTATTACCATTTTCTATATCTTTCCATAGTTGTTTCAAATATATCTCTTCGATTAATTCGTGTTAATACATGTAGTGGATCAAAATCAACTTCCCAGAATAAATCTAAATGTTTTTAATTATAAGTATCCTTAAATTTTTAGTGAAAATGTATTACCTTTTAATTTATATTTTCCTTGTTTTGGCCCATTAGTTATTTCGATTGTTGGTACAATATATTCCGCAATCTAATTAATAAGTTTCGATGAATGATTTAACCAAAATATTACATTCTCATACATCGTCGAGAATGGATTGAATATCGTGTTTCGTATTAGAAATACCTTTTGGTTCAGCTATATGTTCATCTAAATACGAATAATGACAATCTTGCATTGCTAATGTATTAATAAGTTCAATTCGACGACGTTCAAAATCATCCAATGCTAAAAAAATTGTATCACAATAAAATGATAGAAAAAGAATTATATTACTCTACCAAGATGTGGTGTAAATGCAACAATTGTAGATAAAACTATAAGACTACCTTCAAGTAAAGTTACATAACTTGATTTTTCCAATGCTAAATTATTTTCTGTATTTTGTACAAGCCATTCAGGTATATAAAAACTATGATCGAATAATTAAAATAATCAGACAAGTTTTTATCTAACCTTTTAAAAAACATCTGCATAAATGTATTGA